TTCCTTGGTGTTCACAGTGCAATCCTAGAGAAATCTATTCAGAAATTAATGTATATACTCAATTATAAGTTGACCTCTTGTATAAGTCAAGAGCAGGTTTTCAGGCCAAAATTGTGAATTTTGATATGACCCGTGGATAAGTCGAGGGTCAAATTTAGGGACTTGAAACAAAAGATGTAAAGGATCAAGCAAAGGAAAATGAATTGAAAGACCTTACAAAGTTCCTTCTGGCGTAACTGTTTGTGCTCAGCCTAAAGGATGGATGGATGGATGAGGAGGGAATTATGGAAAACTGTGGCTGTGTGATGCATGGGAGATACAACCAGGCACATATATAGGATGTAAAAGCAAAGTAATGAAAATATCGTCTGCATTAGAAGTGATTACAGTCTTTAATTTGATATGTTTTCCTGAATTTCAATGTCTTATTCAAATCCTTCAAAGCCAGGTTCCTCTCGATGCTCCTTTGATGGGGAAACACCAAAGAATTGCCACCATTTTCCCACCCAGGAATTCAAAAAAGTCCGAAGTGGGACCATGGTGGAAAAAGCCTTTCACCGGTCTACTCAGAGAAGCGGATGGTTCCTTTATTGATACTTACATTGACCTGTGGATAAGTTAATCTAGGTTTTTTGGAGCTGATTTTTGGACTAAAATTTCTAAACTTATATATGAGTATATACAGTACATCCCTTCCATGCAGAAAGGACTTATCCATGAGCAAGGGTGGGCAAGTGTTGGAGACTAAAGGATTGCATTAGCCCCCAGGAGACCTTGAAGGGCAGAGCTTCCCATCAGTACCTCCCATAACAATTATAAAATTAATTTTGATTATAAATGACCCCACACTCTTCTTCCTCATGATGATTTTAGCTCCCCTGGGTTATTTTAGATTGTGGTGGAGATTATTTTTTTTACAACAAGAAGTGCTCAGAAGTCACTTTCTATTTTATAAAACGGCCTCCCCTGGGACTTAAATGGCCCTGTGGACCAAAAATGGGGTGTCAATGCCCCCAGACCCCTTAGGGGGCATTTTTGATTTTTGGGAGCCCCCAAAACAGCCCTGGAGGGTGCATGCAACCCTTTCTTGAAGAAATGGGTTTAGGGTTGTAGCTTTAACATATCTGTATTAAACATACATACATACAACATGTTAACATTTGGTGCATACAGTGCTAGTAAATGTTGGGACTTTTGATAGCAAAAAGATCAGCATTTTCCAAACATTTCATACTACGGAGGACCAATGTCCTCCCCGCAAAAAAAAAACTATGAGTGGAGGGCAAAGCTCAGTGCTATAGCCCATGCTTTTCATACACAGAGTCCCATGCTCCACCCATGGCATCCCCAACCAGCTGGGGATGATGGGAGATGTAGTTTAACCACATTTACACCAGGCTGGGGCAACTTGGATTAAGGATTTAATTCTTTTTTTTTAAATCCCCCAATCAACATGACCCCAGGGATTCTGGGATTTGTTTTACCCAAATGGGCATGGTTTGTACATTTTTCACGTTTAACGTGCAAGCTGGCATATGTTGCTTCCAACTGGTGGAAAAGAAGTAAAGAGTGGTTAGAGATTCAAAAATGATGTTTATAGAATGGCGAGGTGCCATCCAGAACATTGGCTGCCCCTGTATATTTTGTTTGAAGGAACAGCCTTCTCTCCATGGTTGAACAATGGAAATAAGGTGGAAGGGATGCCAAGTTTGCACTGGGAGCTGGCTGTGCATACTGCTGACTGGGCTGTACCTGTGACATCCCCAAGAGCCACTCACACTCCCCAGGTTGGTTTTGCCTTTGCATAAAGTTTCTTTAAGATGTGCAAAGGATGAACATTCATGCAATGATTTTTAAAAGACTGATGGGGTGGAGAGGTGCAAGGCCTTCCTTCCCCCTATGCTGCCCTTTTAATGAACATGGATATGAAAGGGGAAATGGTAGCACTGTGATCACCAGGAGCTGATAAGATCCAGGTATGGTAACTATTAAGTTAGCTGATGGACCTCGAGGCTTGAGTTGAAAAATGTAGGTCAGGGTGGGCAACTGAAGAGGGTACGGGGCCAATTTTTGTCCCTGCACCACTAAAAATGGACCAGATGTAACATCTGGTTTCTGGTTTCCACTTGTAGGATTTTGTTTTCATTGGGAGTTGGAGAGGCTGAGGTCCATTCATCACCCCTAGAGTGGAGATTTTGCTCTTCCAGTTTTTGGGGAGAGGAAGATCAGGAGCTTGGGGATACTTTGTGGGTTCTCATGGACACCCCTGAAACCCTCCTGTAGAAATAATGCCATTTGACACCACTTTAAGTGCGGCAGTTCCATGCTATGGAATACTGCGATCTGAGGTTTTACAAGGTCTGTAGCCTTCTCCACCAAAGAATGCTGATGCCTCACAAAACTACAAATCTAAGGATTCTGTAGGACGGAGCTATGGCATTTAAAGTGGTGTCAAATTGCATTATTTCTACAGTGTAGATGCACCTCCAGATTATTTTAGGGCCACCGAGCAGCTGCTGAGAACATACTATTAATGTATTGGGACCACTTCCATCAGCTGTGCTACAGTTTTAAGGAACTATGCCATTCCAGCTATCAATAAAATATACCTCTATTAGCAAAACAACTGAAATGAAAAAGAGGGAACAAACAATCCCGTTTGAGGAACCCAAGTGGTAATGCAACATGCAGGTTGGAATTATTATAGGCAGAGCGGGTTCATTTGCATATTGTTCAGGTTAACTAATATCTTCTTTTTTAACACAGACAGAAAAAGAGGCTCCTCTGTCAACACACAGTAAAACATCTATAATTTCCTTTCATCCAAGCGGGAGAGGAGTGAACATTCATTCAGCTTTCCTGTGCAAAATTCGACACACAAATGAAATACCTGGAATATTTTCCATGTCCTATGATAAGAGGATATATTCTCCTCGGTTATTATTATTACTATCTTTTTTAAAAGTCACTTCTGGGTGCTAAGCAAAATGCATTCGGGTTGTTGTGTTGTGGTTCTTTTTCAACCTTCTGCAAATGCGCTGTTGAAAGAGTTAAGCAAACCAGGGCTGCCAAGCAATTTGCTAAATCTTAAGGGATCGGATTAGTTTTTATCGATTAATTCATTCCGAGACAACCTGCTTATGAATAAAAAAGAATTATTCTGAAGGGAAAGTTATACGCTTTGTGTTTAACAGAATGGAAATAGGTGACACAGCAGGAATGGTCTCAGAATAAGATTTTCTTTGTACAGAAAAGGGAAGGAACCATAACATATTGGAAGAGTGCATGCTTTGTGTATAGAAGGTCCCACATTTAATCCCTGGCATCTATACTGAAATGGCATCATTGATGCCAAGATCCTTCAACATGGCTGAACAGTTAAGTTTCAGTATGCAAGATTGCATATTCATTCTGCTATGCCAGCCTTGTGTTTGGCAGCAATACTGTGCAACTAAACCAAGATCCCCAAGGAGCAACAGGATGCCCAACAAATGCGCCATGCCCATCCAAGCACAACTCTTGCTTTCACAACCTTGAACTGAATGCAGAATTCAACATTTTACAAAGTGTCCATTCCCTTCCGCAGGGGAATTTATCCAAGCAGATCTCATCTGCAGAATTTTGGCCACAATATTCAAAGCTTTTGTAAAAACAAAACAAAATCCAGAGGGAATCCATACACTAGGCTATCCAATTTTGCTGCCTGAGGCAAAGGATGTGATGCTGTCTTGTTCAAAGGCTCACTGGATTGCCAGTTAAATCTTCCGGCTTGGATTGAGAAGGAATGGTTGAGAATAATACCAACTTCTGCCTCCTGGGGCTGTTGCCTAATTCTGCCTAATGCTAGGGCCGGCTCTGTGCTAGCATGGCCAGGGTTTCAAAATAACGATAAAAGACTGTCAAAATTCATGACAAGCCACTATGAACAATCTGTGTTCTCCCTAAATACCAAATTGAAAGTATCGGTGAGTTAACTTGCCAAGATGGATGGGTTCATTGAGTTAACACATTGAGTTAATACATTCATAAACTACACGATGCACACATTTCTGTCTTTATGGATGGTCAACACCTCAAAATGCAGGATTTGGGGCTATCTTGTTCAGACTATATAAAAGAAGAAAAATACTTTCCATCCCTCAAATAAGGGACATCATTTACAATAAGGGGCAGTTGCCAACCTTATAAAGGACAAGCTTTCTGGCTTTCATATAAGAGACATTCCATATAATCAGAGACAGCTCCCAACCCTACAAGGGACAAACTTCCCAGCCCGCAAATAAGGGACATCTCTTATCATAAAGGACAGCTGTCAACCCTATAGGGGACAAGCTTTCCAGCCCTCAAATAAGAAACGTCTCTTGTAAGGAAGACGCCTGGCAATCCCATTTTGCACACTCACACTCACACACACTGCAAGGGGTATTCAGCTTCCAGCTGTGCTCTTAACCCTTTCTTTGCCCGAAAACAGTGTTGAGGGATCACAGCAAACTCCCAGCAAGCTGAGTGTGTGATACCCCATGAGGCATCCTACAACATGAAGCCCAGTATGCTGTGGTGCCCTAGGACATAGTCTCCCTCCATCGCAAGACTACTGTGTCACTGTGCTCTGGGTCTCAAGTGTGGGGAAAAATTATTACTATCGAGAGCTGGTGGTGTAGTGGTTTGAGCTCTGGGGCTGTGACTCTGGGATACCAGGGTTCGAATCCCCTCTTGGCCATGAAAACCCACTGGGTCTCCTTGGGCACGTCATACTCTCTCAGCCTCAAAGAGTGGCAACGGCAAACCCCCTCTGAGGAAACTTGCCAAGAAAACTCTGTTATAGGGTTGCCATAAGTCAGAAGCAATGGGAAGGCACACTATGACAGCAACAACACTATCACTCTTGTTGTTTGCCTTCAAGTCATTTCTGATGACTGGCAACCCTAAGGCAACCCTGTCATGGTGGTTCCTGGGGCTGAGAGTATGTGACTCACCCAAGGTCATCCAGTAGATTTCCACGTCTGACCGGGGATTTGATCCCTGGTCTCTAGAGTCATAGTCTAACAATAACACCACTGCACCACACTGGCTCTACTACTACTACTACTACTACTACTATTGAAATCTATCTCATTTTCCTGATTATCTGAGAAACAAAGTGCAAATTCCCTTTGGTTTTTACCTGATTGTAGTTTAAGAAACCACTCCTTCCCATGTCTCCCCCCTCCCACCTCCAAATAACCAATAAATTAAGTAAAAGGCATTTGAAAAAGAAACAAGAAAAGGAAGGGGGAGAGGGAAAAGGCAGAGAAAAGTGTTCTTCCACTTCCTGTAAAGTTTCCGCTCAGCAATCTTCATTCTGTGCAGCAATCGGTGGATTGCAAAAGTCCACATTCCTAGAAGAAGGTGCATTGAGGTAACAGAAGATGGAGGCAGGTTCGAATGACTTAGGGGGAAGAGGTGGGATGTTTTTATAAAGCAACCCTCACTGGGCTGCCATTGGCATATTGACTTCTTAAATGGGGGAGGAGGAAAAAAGATCACAGCCATTGCCGTTCCTTTCTTGTTCAAACCCAAAACGAGTAAAATGCACACACAGAGACACACAATATATATATATATATATATAAGGAGCGAGAGGGATCCAACTGTACAATTCCACTTCTCAGGAATACCTGCCTTCATGTCCAACCTGCCCAGGGTGGCATTAAGAAATCAAGCTAGGACTGAGGATCTCCGGCCCGTTTCTTCCCTAACACATTCATCGCTTTGCTTCAGCAACCGCCGAACTAACTTCTCTAATTCTTTCCTGGACTTCAGTTCTTCTTCCAAACATTGCTTCATCCGTTTATTCTCCTACAGCATTGGGGTGGGATGGGAAGGGAAGGGAAGGAGACAATGGAGGAAAAGGCCAATGATTTCTGTTATTTCATGATTTTTAACAATGTCCTGAATGCAAAACCTGGAATGGATGCAATGTCCCGCTGACATGGAAATCACCCAACACCACTGCTTCTGCAACACCTTTTTTCAGGTATGACTACAAGTGATGATGCAGTACTTCTGTCTTGACACCACAATAACCCAGAAATCTTTGATTTCTGAAAGCGTTCATTACTATTACCCCACTTGCCCTACCAAAGCGGCACACATGGTTCTTCCCTCCATTTCACAACAACCCTCTTGTGTAGGTTTGGGTGAGAGGCCTTGACTGGCTTCAGATCACCCAATGAACGCCACAGCTGCACCGACACCTTCCCAGTCCAAACCCAACACTTTAACCACACCTTAGTCATTGCCCAGATGTTTTCCAGGGACTTTTTTGAACAATGAGGGCTTGAAACTTTTTCATTTAGTTGTTGTTTGCTGTTATGTGCCTTCAAGTTGTTTCTGACTTAAGGCGGCCCTAACTAAGGCCATGAACCTATCACTGGGTTTTCCTGGCAAGATTTATTCAGAGGGGGTTTGCTTTTGCTTTTCCCTGAGGCTGAGAACATGTGATGTGCCCAAGGTCACCCAATGGATTTTCATGGCTGAGCCAAGAATCGAATCCTGATCTCAGTCCAACACTCAAACCACTAAGCCACCAACAAACCTCAGTGATGACCTGTTATTTGTTACCCTGAATGAGGTGTCCACAAATGTATTCTGGGCTTTTGCAAAATGGTTGTGTTGTATGTGTGTGTGTGCTGGGATGCTTTTGATTACTGTATATACTCATGTATAAGTCTAGAAATTTAGGTAAAAAAATTGACCCTAAAAACCTGAGTCGACTTATCCATGGGTCAATGTAAGTACTGCTTCTTAACTCTTATTTAAAAGAAGGAACCATCTCCTGAAGAAATGCAAGAGTATAATATGTGAAGCACTGGCCACTTCTACTCTCTCATCCATCCAGTCTTAAAAGTAAGCACAAAGAGTTATGTCTGCTGGGATTTTGTAAGTTCTTTGACATTGTTTTGCTTTGCTTCATCCTTTACATCCTTTGCTATATGCCCCTAAATTTTACCCTCGACTTATCGATGGGTCATAGCAAAATCCATAATTTTGGCCACAAAACTTGCCCTTGACTTATACATGAGGTCGACTTATAGTCGAGTATTTACAGTACCTGCTTCAATTCCTTGACCTCATCTTTCAGGGCATAGACGGTGTCCACGAGGCTCCTAGAGAAAAAAAGCAGACTGTGATTGAAAATCTTTGTTCTCATCCCTTTGGCCTTTTTGGCTCTGTTCAGCCTAGAAATCTGGCCCTCAAGCTTTGAGATCGTCCTCTGAAGTCCTCCTCTAAGTGCCCCCAACCAAATGTGCATTGGGGAGGCTACAGAAGTGAAGGCCTTTCCATCTGTGGAACGCTCTCCCCAAAGAGGCTTACCTGGCGCCTTCGCTGTCGTCTTTTCAAACCAGCTGAAGATCTTTTCATTTTCACAGTATATTTAATGGAAAATTACTTGTGATCACATGCACACGCATCTGCATGCACACACACAAACACATACACTTCTGGAATTTGTATTACAGTCGCCCCTCCATTCCCGCGGACTTGAGGGGTTGGGGTTTTTTAATTGTACTAATGTTATTTTAATTGCTGTAAGTCGCCCCGATTGTTTTTAACAGAGGGGCAGGGTATTAATAATAATAATAATAATAATAATAATAATAATAATAATGTCTGCAGTTTTGCATATTTGTGGAGGGGCAACCTCCATTTAAATCTATGGGCCACACTCCCGCGTGCCCCATTCAAGCCTATGGGGCTTGAATATTTGCAAATCTCCGTTTTCAAAGTGTGTGTGTGTCCAGAACAGATCCCTCACAAAAACAAAGGGCCAATTGTAATGGGATCTACAGTTGCTGGGTCCCCCCCCCCCCCCGTTTTTACCTCCAATTACAGTCATCCCTCCACATTTGCAGCCTTGACTTTTTGCAGATTTGATTATTTGCAGATTTAATTAATACACTCTCTCTAGGAATTTCTAAGTCCTCCAGCATGACTCTGTGGTTAACGCCACCAGATGTCGCATTGGACGACAGAGAGATTCCTAGAGAAAACACTTCTCTAGGCATTTGTAGGTCCTCCAGTGCAATTATATGGTTAACGTCTGGCAGATGTTGACCATAGAGTTGCTCTGGAGGACCTAGAGATTCCTAGAGAGGTGGCCTCTCTGATTAAAAAATATAGTGATTTTTAAAATTTCTGGTTTTTCCACTTTCACTGGGGTCCTGCGACCCTAACCTTAGCGAATGTGGAAGGCTCACTGTACTGTCGTTTTGCTTTGCATTTGACTCTTATTGTTTTTCCTTGTCTAAAATCCTTATTGTAAACTGCTCAGGTGAACATTCCTCCCCAAATTCAACTCACTTTTCTTCTTTGCATCTGAGGAAGTAGACTCAAGTCTACAAAAGCTCAAAAAGTACCCGCTTCTTTTTTCCCCAGTCAATCTCAAAGGTACTACAAGATCCCTTTGCAGACTCACTTTTCTTCTGTGATGGTTTGCCCATTGCTTCGCGTTTCCTCAATTATGATTTTCTCTTCGTCTGGAAGCAGGACTTGTGGGACGGAATCTTTCCGGGAACCTGTTAACAAAGAGATTGACAAATCAGGGAAAGACTATTTTAGATACACACATCAAGAACACAAATGTAGGGACCTCCACTTCTTCTTGCCCTTGGGGGACATCACACATTTTCCTAGACCTTGGCTTCCAGAGAGTTATACAAAGCAGTCACAATAATTCAAGAGCAAAGGGGTGCATCTACACTGTAGAAATAATGCAGTTCGACACCGCTTTAAGTGCTGTAATAAATAATAATAAAATTTATTTGTATCCCGCCCCTTTGAAATCAATCGGGGCTTCATCCTATGGAATCCTGGAACTTGTAGTTTTCAAGGTCTTTAGCTTTCTGTGACAAAGAGGGCTGGTGTCTCACAAGACTACAAATCCCAAGATTGTGTAGGATGGAGCCATAATAATAATAATAATAATAATAATAATAATAATAATAATAATTTATTTATACCCCACCTTTAGCCATAGCTATCAAGGCAGCTTACATGTAAAATCATGGTGTCAAACTGCATTATTGCATTAGATGCATCCAAGTGCTATTAATACAAGACATGTCACTTGAATATCCCACACACATCTTCCTCTGTCTGAATGTATACTTTGCCATCTCAACATCTCCAAAAATGGTTGTTTCTCTGTTTCTATTCCTTCAGAAGATGTTGACGCCTCACCCAGGAAGCCGCTTTTCTGAAATGCGCAGCAGATGAAGTGATATATCTCTTGGGCTTCCTATCCAAAGCTCACTCGCATCCTGAGATTACCATCAGTTTTGCTCTCCGTGGGTTGGGAGGGGAGAGAGAACTGAGTAGCAAGGTTGTGTTGTTACTCTTCCATTTTCTGCGTCTCCTTTATGATGGCTATGTTTGCTTTGCTCTTTCTAGTCCTGGTTTCAGACATTGGCCTCCTTCAATGGAGGTTCTCACCAAGGTCCAAGGAGAAACCACTAACTTATGGAGAAGGAATTGGATGATTGATGTTGACCCAACTCAACCCAAGTTGGCATAAGAAACCTAACTATGAGGAAGGTCTTAGGGAGCTGGGGAGGTTTAGTTTGGAGAAGAGAAGATGGAAAGGTGACATGGAAGTTATCTTTAGATATCTGGAGGGACATCATCTAGAACAGGGGTCCCCAAACTATGGCCTGTGGGCCGGCCCCGGCCCGTCGAGACCTTCTTACCAGCCCGCGGGTCCTGCCGCCGCCGCCGCCGCCACCCGCGCCGCTCGCTTATGCTGCCGGACGCCATTTTGTGTGCCAAAATGGCGCACGATGCCAGATGCCATTTTGGCACACAAAATGGCGCCCGAGTAGCGCGTATGTGTGCACGCGCACATATGCGTGCACCTCCACCCCCCCGGGAAATCTAGGGGCCAGAGAACTGGTCCCCAGATCAAAAAGTCTGGGGACCCCTGATCTAGAAGATAAAATGAGTTTTGTGCTGCTCCAGAGACTAGAACACAAACTGATGGAAACAAATTACAAGAAAAGAGATTCCACCTAAACCTCAGGAAGAACCTCCAAAC